ATATATATATGCATGTATGAATGCATGTATGTATATATATACACTTCACATATGCATATATATTTATGCGTGTGTGTATGTTTGTGTTAAGACAACATTGTCTGCTTTCGACCCTTCGTTTGGACGGCCACTCTGGTTTATGTGCCATACCAACTTGGTGTTTTAGCATTCTCAGGGTTATTCCCCCTGACTTTATCACGATCCTGCCCATTTCTAAGTTACATAGACTTGCAGGTCTGATGGGGAAGCCGGGCCAGCCTCATTTGGACAGATGGACAGATGTGGCGTGTCCGTGATGGAGAAGGAGACTTCAGAGATTGCCCTGAAGCAGCAGCATCATCAAATGAGGGCGTCTACTTGCCCCGGATGCGACTTCTACGAAGAAGAAAGAACGGGTGCATTGGCTCCGGCGGATTCTGCGCTTTATATGCAGATATCTCCATTCGCCGGTTTGAAGCCCCAATCCCCCTTCCTATGATATGGGCCGTGTGTGTGTGTATGTGTGTCCTTAATAGAGGAGAGTGTACCAGTGGCCTCTAGCTACAGTCGGAAGCGGACATCATTTGACGCTGTAGTGACGCCGTCCAAAACTCCCACTTTCCAGATCGGCTTAGTTATATGATAAAAGAGTCAGATTCATGACTTTCCTAAACAATTCACTCAACACCAAAGTTGGTACTGCTGGCCTTCCTAAACCGACGAGTGGTCACTACCATATTCTCTACTCAGACGATGAGCCTGAAGGATTTCAAGCAACTGTATCAACTTAAACAGACCAGCGTCGAATATACAAAGCACAGTTTGGCATTCGACACTTATTCTGATGCACAATTGTTCCTTGAATCACCATAGTAACATGAGGTCTGCCGAGTGGCTTGAAAGAAAATGCATAGGATGTCTTTCCCAGACTCGAAGAAAATTGCCCTGAGGACGGCGTCAACCAAAAGGTACCAGTAAAACCGAACGATGGCTGGTCAACTGGAATCCACAATCGTCTTCTCGTTCATCCCAGCCTCAAACTTGAGTCATGACCGTAGGCCGAAGCCAAGATTTTGTGAAATCCTTTTTCTATTCTTCTTATCCTATTTCATGGTGGCAATTACCAGGCTTACTCATGAAAACCGCAAAAAGTCATTTTCATGCTGATAATTTAATGCCGCCAACCCACATGTACACTCCTTTATTATGCAAAAGTCTTCTGGTTGTTAAGGCTACATGAACAGTAGTCAGAATGACCAAAAAAGTGATGGCTCAAAATGATCTCAAGTTGCTAATCGGTTTTTGGTGAACTTACAGAATAAAGTAATTGTTTGTGGAGGCTTTCATTTCGTTTGAAAATGCATGAAGAAGATATTCGTAGGCCGGTCTGAACAGAAAACGACAGCCAATTCCCGCTGCAATGAAGCCGTTCGGCTTTAATACGACGCTCAGGTTGACGCAGTCCACGAGACATCCTCCCTCGTTTCGACCGAAAACTGGCTGAGCTTTCGTCCCTAATGTGATGGATATCATCAATTCAGCCAAACGGCTGCAGTACAACGGGAATCAGCCGTCATCTTCTGATAAGAGTGACCTTTGAATCTCTTCTTCATGAAATTGTATACGAAATAAATTCTCCACAACAATGTTATCTCAGGAGATTCATTGAAACTCAATTACTCTTCGTAACTAAAATAAAGTATAAGATGTATTCACCCAAATTCGTTTAAGGTGATGAAGGACTGGTAGAAGTAGAATTTTCCCACAAATGATATGAGTTGGGCTGACGTTTGAATGTTTCCATATAGCCGAGTGGTTAGCGTGTCAAGATACCGTTCTGCACTGTCGCGGTTCGACTCCCGCTGAGGGTGTTGATAAGACCAATGCAAGGTCGAAACTGCAGTCCAACCTGGATGAGAAAAACTTTTGGTAAAGCAAAGCTATGTAAAAATTCAATGGAAACGTCAGCCCAACTCATATCATTTGTGGGAAAATTCTACT